AAAACCAAAAGCCAAATTAATCTGCCAAATGTGCATCCATTTTTCAAAAATACGTATTTCTCCCTTGCCCAAGAAGAAAGGGCTTTTGTACTTTGGGGCAATATAAGTTACCTCATTAGAGCTTGGTAAATTACATTGCCAGCAGGCAGAGATTCATTTTGGAATATTTATTCTTAAAATGAACTCTAAAATCTTGGGGTTCATTTCACACTTGAAGACTTTCAGCTTACTAATGGGTCAGTGACAGAATTTTTATTTCATAGATTTTGAGTGAAGGGAGACAGACATATGTAATATAAGTCTGTAAACAGTGAAAATAAGTTATAAGTAGATTTCTGACTTTGTTCACTTTAAAATATATAGAGCATGGTCCAACTCCCATTGACCATAATAGGAATTAGAAGGGGTGCATCATGTATAGGAGTTATAAGCATGATACACAAAAAATTAATTTTAAAGTAATTTGTCTAATGTGCTCTAAGCAGTATTTTTTAAGAAACATTGGACTTACGGCATCTCCATTTTCTGTTGCAGATTGTGGTTATTTTTCTTTTCCTGGGTTTACTTGGTGTCAGTCTTTATGGTACTACCCGAGTGAGAGATGGACTGGATCTCACAGACATTGTACCACGAGAAACCCGAGAATATGACTTTATTGCTGCACAGTTCAAATATTTCTCCTTCTACAATATGTATATAGTGACACAGAGAGCAGACTACCCCAACATCCAGCACTTACTTTATGACCTTCACAAAAGTTTCAGCAATGTGACATATGTTTTATTGGAGGACAATAAACAGCTTCCCAAAATGTGGTTGCATTACTTTCGAGACTGGCTGCAAGGTAAGAAAATAGCCGAATGTTTAATAGAGGGGTTTGAAGTATTTTTGTGCCTATGTCTTCAACACAAATTTAAATTCAAGTACATGACATGAGCAGTTCCATTGGCTCAGTTGGAACTATTCACATGCTTAAAGTTAAGCAAGTTACTCGAGTACTTTGTTGGATCAGGAGCCAAGTGTGTAGGATTATAATGACTCGTGAAGCAATTCATTCTTTAGTACTGAAAATAAACAGTAACACTTCAGCACATTTAATATTACTTAGTTATGGATAATCGAATTCTGTTTAGAAATGCATCTGTCCCTCTCCCATCTTTAACGTGGAAAGACTTTTAGGAAGTATTCATCAATTGAAAACTAAATTGCACTGACCTATAGAGACAGTCTAGATTTTCCCATAACTGTTTACAGACTTCTAATGTAGCCAGTAATTCCTAGAAAAGATGTGGATATGTGCCAGTATTTTCATTTGTTTTCTTTCTGAGAACATGGTGGGCAGCATGATGAATGTGAAGCCACCAAGTGTCATGCAGTGCAAAAATGATCAAGGTCTCTCTATTTATTATACTTAATTCTCGTAGACTTATCTGGCATTGCCCAGCTCCTTTAGGCCAAGGTTGGTGCAGAAGTCAAGCAGGGCCTTGGGGATGGGGGGGGGGGGGGGGGGGATGCAGAAGGCAGGGTGGCAGATTTGGGGAAGGGCTCAGGGCAGGGGGTTGGAGATGTGGGTGATGAGAGTGAGGGTTAGGGGGTGAGAAGGGTTTCAGGGTGAGAGATCCTATCCAGCAGGGCCTTTTCTTCCCTCTTCCTCCCCCAGATGGCAGGGCCTTCTTCCTCCGTGTAACCACCATCGCCCCTCCCCCGGCCATCAGGGACCTTCTCTCCTTCCACCCCCACCCTCTCAGCATGGCCACTTACCCAGTCTGGTGGCAGGCACAATGGCCACTCCCAGCCCCTGCTCGCCACTCTTGGTGGTACAGCTGCCTCCAGGAATCACCCTGCAGTATAATTCTCCCTGTGCTCATTGCCTCCAGTGGCCGCACTCAGTATTATGCCCCTCCTTTCTGTGCCCCTCCCTGTCCATGTTATGGAAAACTGTCCCATTCCAAGCACTTCCCATTTTTCTGACACAGCCAAACCCTGCCCTTGCTTAAGTTAGGATAAAGAGGAAGCTGTGTACAAAATGTGGTGGTCCTAGCTCTTACTGTTTAGGAGGAGTTCTTGAACAAACAGACTCACAGACAGACATATTTCTAAAATATAAAGATTGATAGATTGAGGTTGAGAGCAGCTTTAGTTCTGTTTTGGTTTTTTAAGTCTGAGCTTCATTAATCAGTCTTATCTTACATTAATTTATTGGGAGTTTTCCTTGTAATATTTTGCTCAGAAGCAAATTTATTTGTAAATAGAAAAGGCAATCATTCTTAATATACTAAATAGAAAAGGCAATCATTCTTAATACACAGGGCTCGCCAAGCCGTGGCAAGCCCCACTCACTAGCCACGCTGTCTGGCGTTCTGCGCATGTGCAGATCATTCTGCGCATGCTTAGATCGCTGGAACCCGGCTCTTCCACCGTTCTGCGCATGTGCAGATCATTTTGCGCATGCATAGATCGCTGGAACCCGGCTCTTCCATGGGGGAGTAGATTACAAAGATTGTCGAGCCCTGTTAATATACATCTCCAAATCAGAGAGCAAGGGGAAAGTACGCAGTTTGCTCCGTTCCTCAGTCTGATTGTGGAACAAAGCAAGGCCCTGCCTCAGCCGGGCGTCATGCACCCATTCCTTGGGTGTGCCCACTGGAACTGCAGCAGCCATGGAGAGGCACTTCTCACCTGGCCCCAAGCTGTGGTGGTGAGAGAGGGCAGGGGTAGTCATCTGCCCCTCTGGCAGCCCGCATACTGAAGCCCTGAACCCCAGCCCTACCCTAGTGTAATGATTGATTTAAATGAAGAGAAGCAAAAATTAATTGGCCTGAGCAATGCTGGGTAAATCTTTTAGTATGGTTGTATGCTGGTATTTAACTGAGATTTGCTTCTGCTACAGTATTTTTATATACAGTAATTTTGGGGTAAGAACAAGAAGAATTATAGGCAGTTGTGGGATGTCCCCTTTTTTTATGTTTCTCAATTACACAGACTAGGGATGTTAGCGACTAGTCAACTAGTTGACTAGTCTCTTCATCCCCTCCCACTACCCTTATCACTTAACATTTAGAGGGAAGAACTGTACAACTAACATAAAACAACTATATTGTGTAAATTAAAATAGAAGGAGAAACCCACTAAGGAGTATAGGCAAAGGAAAGGAGATGGTTTAAGATATGGAGTGTTGCTGAATGAGAAGGATCAAAGAGCTCACACCTGAAGGAGCAGATTGCAATAATAATACCTAATTCTAATATTGTGCTAGATCCAGGACTACGTGAGTGGAATGGAAAGGAAGTAAAAAGAGACCAAAGGCCAGTGAACCTAACAGGAATAAGTTTATGCAGTGTTTTGTTGTTGTTGATGTGTTTTGTTTTGTTTTTGTTTTGTTTAAGGAAGGACAGTTTTAAATAGGGATTTCAATGTGTCATCGTCTAATTGATTGATAAACCCTGGCTTATTGGTTAATCCTATTGACTACATCAGAGGCAGCAGGGAAAGTAGTGGAGAGAGGCAGGAGCTAGCTCCCCATGAGTACTAGATCCTGCAGAGCTCCCTGCTCCCTTCCTTGTTGTTGTTGATGTGTTTTGTTTTGTTTTTGTTTTGTTTAAGGAAGGACAGTTTTAAATAGGGATTTCAATGTGTCGTCGTCTAATTGATTGATAAACCCTGGCTTATTGGTTAATCCTATTGACTACATCAGAGGCAGCAGGGAAAGTAGTGGAGAGAGGCAGGAGCTAGCTCCCCATGAGTACTAGATCCTGCAGAGCTCCCTGCTCCCTTCCTCCCCCACACACTGCTGCCTCTGATAGAGAGGCGGCAGCAGTGCAGGGAATGAGGGGGGCAGGTGGGAGCTGGTACACTTTGCAGGATGGGGCAGCAGCCAGTGCACAAGGGGGGGCCAGCTATTAGGTGCAGCAGTGTGTTGGGGGGGAAGGAGAGGATGCTCCATGGACAAAGAGCTCAGACCTCCTCCTAGACAGGGGCCGCTGCCTCAGCAGTACAGGGTGGCAGAGGACTCCGCAAGAGTTGTGTAGTTGTGTAACCGCTAACATTTTGATGGGATTACACTATTATTCAGTTAATCGACATGTAACATCCTAAGTTTTAAACTAGATCCTGAAATGAATGAAAAGCCGGTAGAATTGTAGGAGAGTGATGTGAGTATATATTAGAGAATGTGATATGATCTTTCTAATGGCGGACTAAGATCATTTCATGTGCTTAAACTACAGAGGTAATTCCCATTGACTTCACTAGGAAGTCAGTGCACAGATTGCAGGCTGAATATGGTCCTCAGACACCTAGATATTTGCATGATTAATTTGATAGGTAACAATAGTATGTGAACAGCAACATTTTTTATCAACTTATTGTGCTTGGCAGTAGTCATATAAGATTCCCACTGATTCATTTTCAGTCAGGATATATAGCTTTGGTCTTCCACAAAAATCTTTATAGCATTGTTTTGCTCCTTGATTTTCAATAGTGCTAGCACATTTGTGATATCTGAAAATATCAAGGAAAGGAATTAATGTTTTTAGAATTGGAAATGTGAATTTTGTATATATAAGTGACTGGATGTAAATGAGGTAATTTATATTCCCCGATGACATATAATTACACTTGTTTTCCAAAGGGTAATCATGCCTTGTGTTTCACAGTGCCTGCTGTTCACATGAGTCAGGAAGGAATTCATGCCCTCATCCCCAACATCTCACATACGAAACAGGAAAATTGTCCAGATGCATTTTGGAGGGGGTCACCTGCCCTGTTTTATGCATTAAGCATTGGTCACTGCTGGGTGTGACTATTTTTATGTTCCTGTGTTTCTGCATATATCATTTTAAAAATTACCTTCATTTTTATAGCTTTGCTGAAAGAAGGCACCACCAAGTCTGTCCTGAAAGATTTTTCAAATCAAAATTATTTTTAAGACATCCTTGTATTTTGGTTGCATTTCTAAATGTATACCTTTGGTGGTGTGACCTGCTCATACTGAAGATATTTTTCTTCAATTTCAAAACTTTTATTTAAAAATGTACTTAAGGATGATTTCTTAGGTCCCCTTTCTGACATTGCAAAGGGAATAAGCCATAAAAGTAATAAAATATTCAAAATGGATTTGGAATTTGAAGGGAAGATCCATATTTAAAAAAAAAAAAAAAGCTTTAGTGTTAAGGGAGGAACAAAAGACCAGATTTTCATGCAAGTTAGTTATATAAAATCTATGCACAATTGTATACTGAGATCGCAAGCACAAGTTGGGTAATTCTGAACGCAAATGGCTACGTCCAGTTATTTATGTTTCTTGTTTTCCCCTTTGTTTGAAGCATATATTTGTCTGAAGACTTTGGCCTCAAGTATTATCTGTTTAGCATAGAATCTGTGCTCACTTTACCCAGGGAAGTCATGTTAACTGTAACTTAAAGTCAATCTGTTCTTTGGTGGTCTCTCCTTCTCTCCCACATTCTTCTTGAATGGCCTCCCTTTTAACTCCGAAAGTGCTCTTCAAAATTATTATTGTGATAACACAACCTATGCATATAACTGTTTCTTGGGAGGCTTTAATGGAATAAAATTGTATTCAGGAAGGAGGATTTGTATTTTTCCACTTCCTAAGTTATGTCTCACCCACTCTGAGTGCCCCAACAAGCAGAGCTTTCATATTGCATGCTTTGGAGTCACACAGATTAAATAGTCTCCCTTCATTCAGGGCAAGAGGCTGGAGTGCTGTCTGAGCTGGGTTAGAAGATTCGCTTTATTGCTTTGTTCTGAACCTGTTGCTTTTGTGAGGAAAGGATTCATGATTACGGAGGTCTGCATGGGAGGCAACTTTCAGGGGGAGGGGAAACCATTTGTAAAGGTGAATGAGCATTCAGGCCCTAAGGCTGTGTGTCATTTAGGCCATGTTTTCTCTTCCAACACTCTTATCACTTTACAGCTGTAGCTAACCTATCAGATCTGTAATGATGGTTTTGATTACAGCCTCTCAGTGCAGCTGTGAGGTGGGTCCATAGGCTTTTTTTTCCTTTGCCCCTATGCTTTTCCTTCCCTTCCCAAGACATGCGGTTTGTCATCTGTTCTCAGAGAGCCTCCTTTCACTGAACTGTGGCTTCCTGTTCTAAATCTGATCCAAATTTGTGCTGTGAGGTATTCCCCCTCTCCCCCGACCTGAAAGGGTGGCAAAGAGGAAAATAACAGTTGAGAGTGAATAGGTGTTGGCTGTGATCTTTACACGTGCTGGCAGCAGATCCCACGACTTGTATTAGCTACACAAGTTGAACAGATGGAACAAATTGACAAAATCGTGTTCACTCACGCTGTGCTCAAGAAGCAGCTGAGTTGCTGTTTGAAGTTGAAAGTTTGAGTGTGGTTTTATTTTCCCCCTTGCAGTGGAATTTCTAGTTATATCATAGAACCTATTGCTTTAGCACTCGGCAGTAGCACAAGACAGCTAACGAGCGTGCTAATGTGCTTGGTCAGCGTCTCATGAAGTATGGGGGTGGGTGGTGCTGGGGCAGTAATGGAGTGGGTTTTTCTTTAGATAATGGATTCTGTTCCTTCCTGGTTTAATTCCATGGTAGTGAGTGGAGTTTCCGTTTTGGCACTGTTCAGCTTAGGGTGAGATTTCAATAATGTTTTGGGGCAGGGTGTTGAAGAGTGGAAATAAAAATATGTTTTAAAAAAAAGAGCAGTGCACAACTGTAGTTTATTAATAAAAACCACTCGGAATCATCTTCTTTTGGTTTACAAACTGAGAGGTAGGTTATGATCTATCAGCTAGCCCAGTGTGAGGCTATGCCACTAGGACAAGAAATTATCACTCGGTGTCATAATCCTTTCCTTGATCCCCACCCGCTCCTGGAGGTAGTGGGTTACTGCCACTCTGTTCTTAGTTCAGGTTACTTACTGCTCTCACTAGCTCAGCTCTGATGGCCAGCTCAAAAAGCTCCCCCTTCTTGCCACCTCCTTCACAAAAGGGTGGGGACTTAGCAGATCCTCACCTGACCTCTGTGTAGCTGCACTCTAGCCACAGTGTGGGGAGAGACCTATCACAGCCAGGCATTGAGAATGAGAGTGCATTTATACCATTCTGCAGCTTCCTTACATGAAGCTATAGTCTGGCCCAAAATAGGTATATATGGTACAAAGAGTAATTACTTTTGTTTTTCCCAACTGTAATTTATTTAAAGGGTTGTTTCTTATCTGCACATTTTATCTTCCTCACCCCTTTCCTAACTTACGTTAGGTCTGCAAGATGCATTTGACAGCGACTGGGAAACTGGGAAAATCACATACAACAGTTACAAAAATGGATCTGATGATGCTGTTCTGGCCTACAAACTTCTGGTGCAAACAGGCAACCGCGATAAGCCCATTGACATCAGTCAGGTACTGTCCCATACATCGCTGTGACTATGCCTGTTTATGTGGAAATGCACAAACAAGTGGGAATTGTAGAAGAAAGGGAGGATACTTAATTGGCTTTTTTCGGATCTGTTGAGCTTACAAAGTTCTCACATACATGAATAGCATCACTTGCTTCAGTGGATTACTCATGGGGAGTTAGGCTGGAGGATCAAGCCTGCATTCTGTAATATTCAGAAGCAATCATCACAAATGTCCATCGTTATTATGAAATACTAGATAGTGCATGCTCCGTAAGCCCAATTCTCCTTTTCAGTGCATGAGCTCCGTTCCCACTGAACCAAATAGGAGATGCATCGTTCTATCTGAAGGCACAGTTGAGCTTCTCAGAGCTGATTCTTCTCCAACTTTACATCAGTTTTAATTCCATTGACTTGAGTTTAATCACACCTGACTTATACAAAAGTATGTGAAGAATTAGTCTAATTACATCACCTTCTGTCTCTGTTTCTTTTCTCCAGTGGATAGAAATCTCAAAACATAGATTACCAACTATTCAATTTGCTCCCAGTAATTAGGAGTGGAAAGGCACATTTTAGAGAGGCGTTTTTAGAAGGAGTGGTCAACAGAGTATTGGAGGAATCATATATAGTAATGGTTGCCAACCCTCCCAGATTGTCCAAGAGTCTCCAGGAATTAGAGAGTATGTCTCATAAACCTCCTGGAATATGTCCGTCCAAAATGGACAGTCTTAACTATAATACTTCTGCATAATCATGAGTAAAGGGATGTCCACATTTGAGCTAGGAAATGTGACTCCTAGTTGTACTCCAGCAAGCTTGCTAAAAATAGAAGGTAGCACAGGCAGGAATCTGAGCTAGGCACCCAAGTAGGTAACACTCAGACTCCCTGGATACATACCTTAGTGGCTAGCCTAAACCACTCTCTGTGCTACCCTGGATACATTTGTTGTTTTTACTGAATTAGCTTGAGCAGAGATATCATGGGTACATCCACGTGAGCTAGGAATTACACCTCCCAGGACAAATGGAGATGTACCCTAAATGTAAAGGCAATACTAGAGCTGAGGTTTTTTTTAAGCTATCTCAACACATTGGAGCTGCTTTTTATATGGCAAAAATAGCATACAGTTGTGTTTACAGATTTGTATTAAGATCACATTTGGAAGACAGTGTTTTTGACTGTTTATATTAAAATTAGACTTTTAAAAGGTGGTTCAGAAACAAATACATTAGTAGCCTAAGTTCCCTTCTCTCAGAACTATAGCTGTCTTTCTGTACTTTCCAGCAGAAAATAGTCACTCTAATGATCTTTCCGGCAGCTCTGTTCATTGTCTTCCTTTTTTTGTTGGCATTAAAGGTGACAGATTTACGGAGTACATTGTTCAAAGTTACTATGGAGTATAAAACACAATGGTTTACAGCAACATACAGCATGCTGTCAAATCTGACAGGAGTTTGAGTTAGGAATTAAGCAAAAGAGGGGACTTGAAGAGGAAACTTAAGTGAGATGCCCAAATAGTTTTGTTTGCTAGAATGTACCAAGTACATCATGGAACAAATGTGATTGGACCGTAGCTGCTGATATAATTTCCTGTGCCTGGGAGGGAGAAAAGTGTGGTGCACCCACAGGGGCTGTGAGCTGTACTGTGCAATTCCAAAGACAGCTTGAAGACATATAGTTGTTGCATATCCTGTGGATTAATTGAATCCAGATCTTTGGAATCCAGCTTTTTTTTTTTTAAACTGCTGTCACTGTTGTTTTTCATTTCATTAAAAAGACCTGAAACTGGAGTCAGGCCAGATTTTAAAATAAACTAAACAAAACAAAAAAAATCATAATGCTTTTCATCCAAGAAGTCCTCAGGCTTGGCTCTAGCTGGTAGTATTTGGCTACAAAATCTTGCAAATACGCCACTGCTATTTACCCCACAAATACATTTGCCCACAGTGACCCAAGCTGCACAGTACACTCGTCTACTTTCTTGGCGCTTGGCATTTTCTGAATACATAGGTCATAGGAGGCAAGTGTTAGCAAAATTTATACAGATGTTGTTTTATTTTTATAGCTCTCCTCCATTTACTGGGTGGCATTTCCTTCAGTGTTAACAACAGAGGTTAACTGCACACAGACGTGTATAGGGACTCTTGCCAGATTCCCCGCCCCCCTCCCTCCCCAAATATGTTTCTCCAAGTTGGTCATTTTCCCCCCTTGGCTGTAGACAGTCTCTTAGAATTCAGGTTTAATTGGTTCAGTCTATTCTGGAACCATCTGCTGGTTTAATGTTTATAATAAATATTATATGTTTTTCACAAAATAAAACACTTCTACAACTCAATACAGATATTTAGATATTTGCTCACTGTCAAACAATAGTCTGTTGAGTCACTTAATGTGAAGTCAAATACAAAAAAAGTTCTGTATATGTGTTGCATATTCCAGTCTCTTTATTTAAAGCTTTGTAGCAAGAACTCTGAAAGCAAAACTCCTTTCTGAAAGGCTTCTAATCTTTCCATTTTGCAGTTGACTAAACAGCGTCTGGTGGATGCAGATGGAATCATTAACCCAAATGCTTTCTACATCTACCTGACAGCCTGGGTTAGCAATGACCCTGTGGCCTATGCTGCCTCTCAGGCCAACATCCGGCCTCACCGTCCAGAATGGGTCCATGACAAAGCAGACTATATGCCAGAAACAAGGCTGAGAAGTAAGTAACATTTAATCTTAATGTCTTATAGTTTATATAAGTGCCTCACCCCTTTCTTAAAGGCCCAGTGACTCTCTAGTTACTTGACACAGTACAGGTCTCAGCAGCATAAACAGAACAATATATTGTGTTACTTTAAAACCTCCGGAGACAGTTATAATATAATGTGGTACCACTGCAGGACTTTTTCATGTTGAATAATTAGATGTATAATTGTTTATATCTAAGCTCTAAAACTTGCATTAGACATTTCTTTTTAACACTGCTTGTTAACTTTGTATGCACGGGAAACCTTCAGCATGCATGACATTTTGCCTTCATCATTCCAGAGTTTTGTCATTGAAAATTGTCATGTTTATCCTAACTTTGTCACCCTAGTGTAGAAGAAATTTTTGGCAAGTTAGGTCACTGATATAAGCCACTCACACCAGTATTGTGCTAGAGCTCTTTAGGTAGGGAAGAACTCAGCATACGAGAGTATCGCTCTTTCTTTCCACCTGCCTCCATTCACTGTTTTACATTATGAATGATAATCCTGAGTTGATTTTCTTTGCTTTTACCCTGGATATCTTGGGTGGATTGTTAGTTGATTACTATGGGGTAGAAGAGGAAGGAGAGGATTGGTTCTCTTGGAAATGTGATTGGATAATAAGCAAAGCTGTGCTTCACTGTATCCGAACCCTAGAGCTTTGTGGCAGTCAGCCAAGTCTTGTCTTAATGAAAATTTATAGTTGAGATTATAATAGGGCAAATCATGTTTAGCAAGTCAACTGAATGACCCTGCAGGGTCTGGAACACACAGCGGCAGTAACTAAATGCTTGTTGTGCAAGACTCTTTTTTTCTTTTGGTATTACAGTAGACTTAGCATTACATTCAAAAAGAAGCATGGAAAATTTAAGTTTGTCAGATCATTAAAGGATAAAAATGTATGTATTTCCTCACTAAAGCATTATGGTTAGGTTTTATTTTACTCTTTTTTAATGGATAATGGCGTTTAAAATAGTCAACTGAAGTATTACAAAATAGAAATGCCTGATTCACCACTGCATGAATCTAGTTTAGAACCAGTTTAATTCCACTGGTTTTGGATACATAAATATTGGCTTCTCATGATTTACACCAGCATAAAACTGGAGTAACACAGTTTTATTTCAAACTATTTTTTTTCTTCAAAAAAAATATTCAAGATATAGGGAGAAGTGTTTGAGAAGGTTGCTCTTTTGTTCATTTTACATTACCTATAGAGTACAATGTTCAGATAATAAAGAAGATAGTTGCTACGGTAATGCATATGTATATTAGGTATCCATTTACAAGCTGGGCTTCAGCATGATATACAGTGTAATTCAGTGAAATAGTCATCTTCTGTGTTTAGCGTTTTTTAAGGTTGACACAGAAGTTCTGGATTTAAACAAGGCAATTAATTTTTTACTCAAATTTAACATTTTGCCATAGAAAACATGCTGCTTTAATCAGATTTGTTTGCTCTGCATTTGTTTTTTCTTCCTCCCCAAATCATATTAAACATTATTCTTTTTCTCCTAGTCCCAGCAGCTGAGCCAATTGAATATGCTCAGTTTCCTTTCTACCTCAATGGATTGCGTGAAACTGCTGACTTTGTGGAAGCTATTGAGAAAGTGAGAGCTATCTGTAACAACTACACCAGCCTTGGGGTCCCCAGTTACCCAAATGGATACCCATTTCTTTTTTGGGAACAGTACATTGGGCTTCGTCATTGGCTTCTCTTGTCTATTAGCGTGGTTCTGGCTTGCACATTTCTGGTGTGTGCCCTCTTTCTCCTGAACCCCTGGACGGCTGGGATCATTGTAAGTTTATTATAAGGGTCTTTGTTAAAGGCAAATTCCTTTCAGCCTAGCTCTTGCTGCAGTCGGAAAGGTTTTGTTTATGTCTGGGCCTCTGGTGGAGTATGTATATTGCATCATTCATGATATATTTATTCAACTTGAGGGGGTAGGGTTCATGGTAAAGGTATAACCCTTAATAACCTTAATCTTTTGAGCACACTCTAGTAGCTTTAAAGCTTTCTTATAAACATAACTAAACTTTTGCCCCTGTTCCGATACTCATGAACATGAGAAATGAAGCATGGAGGAAAATTGTAATTTTAAATAGCTATTAAAATTGAACACCTTCCCCCCCAAGTTTTTTTTATTCGCACAAAATTATTTTTCATGGCATTTTCTTATTTCTGTACCTTGCCCATAAACATTAAATTGCTATACTAACTTCTGGATGTGAATCTTAGAATGATAAGAAGGACTTACAGCTAGATGAATGGTTGTACAAAACACACTGAAAAAGGAGTGTAAGTTTGTCTTTAAGGAGAAAGAGCAGTAAAATTATAAATGATATCTAATACTTCTTCCTAAATTCCTTGTAATAAACATTCATGTTAAATTGAATTATGATGTTCCTGTGTTTAAATTCCATAAACTATTGTATAGCTTATAAAATGTCAGAAGTAGAAAAGCACAGAGCAGTCACTAATTTTTGTAATGTACATTTGTGCAACAGGTATGTTAAAAGGTAAATGTTTAGTCTAGAATATTTTTCATAGTATTCAATCAAACAATTTATGTTATCATTGATGATTCATTACCCTATAAAATAATTTATTGTAGCACTTACATTTTTCTTAGAAAAGAGGGCTTATTTTAAAGAGTCCTCCATCTCTTTTTAAAATGTGGTGGTGGGGTTTTTTTGGTTTTGGTTTTTTTGTTGTTGTTTTTTTTTTTGGCTCCAGAAACTTTTTGTTTTTTTTGTTGTTGTTTTTTTTTTGGCTCCAGAAACTTTTAAGTCTACTCCACAGATTTCCCCCACCTCTCTACTTTTTTTTACAAGATAGATGAAAGAAAATAAAAGCTTTCCCTTAGATTTAACTGTTTGCTTTGTCCTGGCCAATCCCTCCAAGTTTCTTCAAAGCTAAAGAGACCCTTCTGTAACCTGACACTCATCAGCTGATTATGGCATTCATTTTCTTCCAGCTTTAAACCTACCCTTGAGTCATCTTCTTTTACTCCCTGAGTTCTGCAGAAAGAACCCAAACCAGCTGTTTAATGGTTGCTTTTCTCCTTCTATCTTTGAGAGCATTGTTGGAGAAGTGGATTAAAAAGCAGAAAAGTTATAGTCGGATGGGGTTAGAGAGAGACAATACATTATATTTCAGACAATATTGACAAGAAATCCAGTAGAAAGTTGATGGTTGCTCTGCCTACTGCATCCTAGGGGAATGATTTAAACTGATGCTTTTCAGGTCATTGCTATTGAATTCAGTGAATTAGGGAGAAGTACCTTGTCTTTGGAGTGCTGTGAGGGTTGCGTTTTCTAATCCCACATTGTTTTGAAAATCCTTTCCTTTGTTGATGTGTAGAGTTTGTAAGATGTTACTAACAGCTGTTTTAAATCATTTAGGTGGTGGTGCTGGCTCTGATGACAGTGGAGCTGTTTGGCATGATGGGTCTAATTGGAATAAAGCTGAGTGCAGTGCCTGTGGTCATCCTGATTGCTTCTGTTGGCATAGGAGTGGAATTCACTGTTCATGTTGCTTTGGTATGTAAAATTAGGCAGCTTTTCTAAAGTATTTTGAAAATCTCGCCAAGATTTTTTTTAAAAACGGGAGCCTGAAGTTAGGCTCTGACATCCATAGTTAGGCCTCTAAATGAGTGATCTGATTCTCAAAAGACAACCAAACCCAACACCACACAAAAGGTTAGTGTGCCAGTTAGATTGTTGCCTGAGAGACCATAATTGATTTGAAAGAATAGTTACCATCTGTTAAGTCAATGATGCATGAAAGAAGATTGGATTTAACAGTGTACTTTTAAGTGCTTTTAAATATCACTTCACAAATCTCCGGTTAATATGTGGTAGGTATTTCTATGATTCACATTAATGTGTGTACTAAGCAGAATTACTAAGATCTGTTAAGACTTTTACACTCTTAAGTGTCAGTTCAGACACAACCACTATCTTGGGCCTCTCTTTTATCCCTAAGTGCTGCAAAGGATTGTAACAGTACATAACTATACACTCCCTGTTGTGTCTAGATGCTGCCTATTATGGCAATTGTAATACTTTAGAGGAGACTTTCATAGGCACAAATGGCAATTAGGCACTCATTCCCATAAATGTTTAATAGGAATTGGGCACCTGCCTTTGAAAATCTCCCATTAGGTGTCTTTCTTTCAGAACATATTAGTTGTTAATAATGGTCCCAGTCCTGCAAAACGCCCATTGATTGAATGAAGAGTAATGCAGAAAAAACAGAGAATGTATGATCACAGTCGGAAACATTTTCAAATTGATTGCCTACATTTAGGCACATAAGTTAGTGGCCTGATGCTCTGAAGTGTCTAGCAATTGCAGCTCCCATTTAAGCCAATATAAACTGACACCATTGAAAGTCAGGCTATTTAGGTGTCTAAATATGAAATAAATTGCCTAATTTTTGGAGTTCAAGTTTGAATTTTTTGGTTTGTTATGGAAATGTTTCTATTTCTTTTGTTAGAGTTGCATGTAGACTTCCACTGTAAGCCTTGTTTTCTGTACACACACTGCTAATTTTTAATTAAACCATTTGTTTGCAAATTGAAATGCTGAAAATAGCATATGAGATTTTTTTTCTTAGAATTTGGAAAATGCAGGATTTATAATATTTATATGCTACTTAATCTAAAGTTACATGTGATTTACATTACATGTGGGTTTTTTGTTTTGTTTTTTGGGCTTCCATGTTCTCAACAGTGGTGTAGATTTTCATAGCTCTCAGTGTTACATACATATAGAGGGAGCTCTTCACACAGGGTCATTCCCATATACTGGAGGCCCCCAACTTGCAACGCGATCGCTACTGGGGGAAGTGTTGCAAGTCGGGGGCATCATAATTCAAGCCCTCATTTACGATAGGCACCGTGCGCCGTCGTAAATACAGGCCGAGGACATAAGTCGGGGTTTTTTGGCCCTGTCCACCTTACAAAAATGGTTGTAAGTGCGGGGGGTTGGAACTCGGGCAGTCACAAGTTGGGGGCCTCCTGTATTTTTGAGGGGAAGATTGTTTGAGTTGCCATATGGAGTAGAGCATTACAAAAGAGATAGAAAGGGAGGATAGGATCAATCTGTACAAGTGGTTTAATTATCTTGGGGTGGAGAGTAATTAATCATTACTATTTTCTGCTTCTCAAAATTGCCATCAGAATCCAGTACACTCAAAGAATGAGAGGAAGAGGAGCGGTGAGGTAGACTGGAGAGAGAGGAGAGGGGATCAGATGTGGTTCCAAGACTAGAGAATAGAACCTTGGTTGGGGAGGTTGCTGGGGAGAGTGAGAAGGCATTGCAGATTAGAGGAGAATTTTGAAGGTTGGAGACTGAAAAGCATGGTAGGGGTGCAACAGGAGGAGGTGCATGATGGCAACATATTGTGGAATGCCCTCAGTTTTAAGTGGAAGCAGTAGATTTAAGAGGGGCTTGCTGATGGAGGGGTAATATGAGGAGAAAGGGATAGTCAACTGGAAGCATATTTGGGTTTGTTGAGCTAAAGCAGCCTGCTAAGGCTGGTGGTGGGATGGTGAATGTTTCAGAGACCTGGTGCACATTATGGGGAAACAAATGACAAATATGAGAAAATAAATAAAGTTTGGAACACGTAATTATAAAATGTGTGGCTGTCTTTTCTAACTGGAGAGAAACCACACTAATTTGTCACATTTTTACATAAATAAAATCACATGTGAGTAAAACTTCAGTCCCAGTAAACTCAAAGCTACTCGTTTCCCCATGACATAGGAAACAAAACCCTCCAAAATCAGATTTTACAATGAAAGCATCTAATAGATGTTAACTATAGCAGCACTGCTGGCCAATGCATCCATAGAACCAACCAAATATAAATAACCACACTAGTGTTGTATAAACAAAATATGCAATGCTTATAGTGTTGATACAGGATTTAATTGCTCTTGTGTTTAGACAAATTCACAATCTACTCATGGCTCAGTTTTTCTCTGCCAGTTGTGAGCTGTGACCTCATTTTTTAAAAAATTTCTCCAAATAAATTGTGCATCAACACTGCATTCATTGTATTGTGTCCTTTAAATACACACACATCCATGTTCAATGCATATATTTTGTTACTATGTTATGGGTTTGATCCCATAGCCCTGACTCATGGGAGTCATCCAGTGTACATCTGCTCACGCATCCTATACTGTATATGGAAATGCATTTGTTATCTGTAACGCAGCATGTATATATAAATTGTACTTATTCTGGATACATTTATTTTTCATGGTTCACTGTTACTCTTTTAAATCTTGAGTACTCAGCTGTGTTATATGCTGTGAGTTACTTACTCAGGAGTCATGGGGAGGAGAATAGAGTCTTTATAAGTTACGTCAGTGCTCAGATGCTCCAGTGATGAGCAGCAGGATAAAACCTTGAGGCAGATGTATAATTGTTTTTAAAGTTGTAAAAACTTTAAATGTATTTGCATAGAAAGGAACATAATGGAAAGACTAAGAAGAGCACAGTCCTGCAGTGCTTATTTGTCATTGAATACTTTGGGTCAAATCCTGCTCATCTCATTCGGTTAGGGGCCGAGTGTGCATAAAGATCTGCTAGCATGAGGGTCCTGCAACCACATGGAGAGATCCACTGACATCAGTGGAGAATTCTGCTTAAAATGTGTCAGAAAGATAACAATCCTTTATGGGATGCTGAACTCAACGTGACTATGCATGTGAGTAAAGGTTGCAGCATCAGGCCCAAATCCACAACCAATAATAATTCAAATCATGTGGACCTTGCTAAGACAGAATTCCCATGACATGAATGGAAGTTTTGCTTAGGTATGAATTGCAAGAGTAGTCCTATAATTTTTACAGGAGAAGTGCTTTCAAAATTAAATGAACCCTGTGTGGGTGGGAAAAAGTAAACCCAGCAATGAACGAAAATCCTTATGAGGTGGGGCACAGGCATTGTTTCAAAAAATTATTGCTGTGGGCCCTGACCCTGCAATCAATCCTTACTCCACTCCCATGACTTCAGTAGCAGCTGTATACAATGGCTGCAGAATCAGACCTTGTGTTGAACTCTAGGCAGCCACAAAGATATTTTAATAAACTGTAAATTGGAGTAATTAGTGGGGGAGGGGGGGCACATGCATGCTTTGGGAGAGACAGCCTAGTTCTGAAAGGCTGTATACAAAGAAAAGATGACATGGAGTTTATCTTTTTATAGGCATTTTTAACCGCCATAGGAGACAAGAACCGCAGGGCTGTCCTTGCATTGGAACACATGTTTGCACCAGTACTGGATGGAGCTGTGTCTACTCTACTTGGAGTCTTAATGCTTGCAGGGTCTGAATTTGATTTTATCGTCAGGTAAAGCATCTTTCTGTATCTTGACTTTTATTTTTTTAAATGTGTACACTGTTGATGTTTGGTCATTTTAGTGTATTTGCTGTGTTACTACTGTGCATGCTTACATCATGGTCCTACTTTACATCTGATCTTTAACTCCTTGTTACATACTAGTTTCAATAATATTTCCTTTGCTGGCATTGGATTAAATTCGGCATTGGATAAAATTGGATAAATTTCAATAATATTTCCTTTGCTGGCATTGGATAAAATTCTCAGACTAAAATGACACAAAAGAGGATTCTCCGTTGCCTAGTTCACTCAGTTCTGAACTAACTTAATTCCAAATATCTAGTATTGTCTAGTTTTTAGCTGAATTTGACCTTTAACCTAAGGGTCTTCCAAATTTTTCGTATGTGCAGCATTTTGTGTGGAAGGGGCAGTAGGAAGTGAAAATCCCTCCCCCTTCCCTGTCATCCCTAAATGAAGTTTGCAGCAGGTTTTAACTGACAAAAAAAATTGAAGCTCTGTTTGGGATGTAAGAAACTTTAAGCGTGAACACAGACATTTGTATTAAAATGTGTAAAGCAAAGCTTGAGGACCTGTTTAGAGCTAAAGGCAGGCTGTTTCATGTGTATTTAAGTCAGAATGTGAATTTGTCCAGTATGAAAGGAGCACAAGTTTTTCTTTTGAAGGGAATTTGAGTAGTGCAATGAAATGGATCCCATTCTACTCCATACAACCTGTGGAGCTCTGCAAAATGGCTAATCTTAGAAGTAACACTGGCTCTTTGTGGCAGACTATGGCAAAGAAAGAGAGAAAGAAAGAAGGGAGGACTGAGGTAGTGCTGGACCAAACATTCACGGGCTGATAGATGACTGGACTGTAAAGACTGAAGTGAGCTAGATAAATAGATGTACACTAAACCAAATCATTTAACAACAACAACAAAAGTCAAGGCTCTAACTGAAAGATTAACTATATTGAGTTTTAGCTGTATGTATCTGAGAGAGAGCAATTTGGGGAGGACAGGAAAAGGAAGGTTATTTCCTGAAAGGGGGCTGGGCCCAGTTGCTGTGTGTGTAGGAATGCCAGGTATCCTATATTGACCTAATATGTCCAGTATTTTCTGATTATTTTTTTTCCCCCTGCCAGGAGGCAAAAATACCGGACTGTCCAGGTCAATGCCGGACACCTGGCAACCCTAAACACACTCAGCAACCAGGCTCCCCTCCCCCGTGCTTACCAGGTTCCACGGGGAGCTGTCTGGCCCGGAGCAGGAAAACAAGACCCTCAACAACTTTGGTCTCCTCCTTTTTTTTTTCCTCAACGGAATTTTTTCTCCAGTGGGTTTTTTTGGGGGGTAGAGGTGTTCAGTATTTTTGGTTAAACCATCTGGCAACCCTGTTATTTCCTTGCCTAACAAACATACATCATAGCTTCATAGTCTTCATAAATACATACCATGTGCCCTTATATGCAATGTCCATCAAGTCTTCTGTGTCTCAGTTTTTGGTGGTAGTGAGGAAATGCAGAACTATTCATTTAGAGTCTGCTTCTATATCTGAGTGCTGAATATTTGGCAGGATTGGGCTTTTCCTGCAGATTGAATTAAATTTACCATAGTGTGGTGTTGTAGGACTCTGCATATTGCACACACAAGCATATTCTGTGCACATTTACATGACATAGCAAATGGCAGTATATAGTCTTGTCTAATTTCAAATTTGGATTTGATATTTGCTAAACAAGTAAAATGAGCCTTTCACAATTTAAACTTGTATTGTTTAGCTTTGTCTTTGCCCATCAGTTTCTTTTTTTCTAGCACGATCTGGCTTCAGTTTCCCTTGTTTTTCTAAGACAGATGTAAAATAAACAAGCAAATCTGAAGCATTGTTACAATGAGTGAGGAAGACTCCAAATTTCCGGAAAGGGATAGTTTAGCCCAATAGTGTATTTAGGAAGATTAAGTAAATTAACAGACATTGTATACTCTAAGTGGCCAGACTTGTAATCAGCCTGTTTATTCTAGTGTTAGATGGATGAGATGCAAATGTGTTTTAATGCCTGTTGTTGATACGTGTCTCAGCAAGAAGTTCTGGAAGTTTATATTAGTGAAGGAGATTGGTTCGTTGATTTTGCTAATGCAGACCAAAAATTCCAAAATGTTTACAATAGCAGGATATTTGTAGTTTTACAGGAATCTGGTATATTTGATCAGATGTGGAAACATAGGCAATAAAGTTTGTAGCCTGCTAAACAATGTGATCAGCAGTGGCACTGTTATTAGGAAACTTGTCCCTACTTTTCCTCCTGCACCCTACCCCTCCAAAAATTTGTCCTAGACTTAGCCCTTAAAATCATCAGTTACAATGCAGCCTTGAGTATAGTCTGAACTCCAGCTGTGCCGAATACCAACTAGTAAAGCTTCCTTTTAGTGACAGGTTTACCTTGGTATTCATGAAGGATCCCAGACCTTAGCCCTCAATGGTGGGAAAGGACAACCACTTGTGCACTTTCTTCATCCTCCTTAGTACTTCAGCCTTTATGTTTGAATTGGCTGACGCAAAACAAGAGTATTCAGAGATGCTAAATTGTTCAACAAAAGATTAGCCTGCAATGCAGCTCTGCCATTGTGGAGTGCTCTTACTCAGTACAATGCTGAAGCTTACTACAGAATGGGCAGCATTTTCTTGGCAGAAAGCTGGTTCCTGTGTTCTAAAAAGGTTGCAATTTGAGCTATTTGGTAAAACTGGAACTCACAGAATTCTAGGCGGAAAGTTGTGATTAATGAACGGCGAGGGAAAGCCTTACCTGATACACTAGAGATTTAATTAGAGATTCTGCTGTTAGATGCAGAAGCATTTCACAGTGGATTAGCTGCTGGGAGAAGTGGGCTTCTTTTCCTTCTAGGCTAAATTGTTTAAATTCTACACCCTTCACTTCATTTGTTTGCTTCTGCTGGGTTTTCACTAATGGGGGCCCCTTTTCATTGTATTTGTGCTTTCAGTCCATTCAGCCATTCAATTCACATTCCATATTTTTGTGTTTGTGTAACACATTTATAAATAACATTACATGCCACAAGATTTTGATAAATTAACAAACTCATTTTTTTCTTTCCTTTATCAACTAACACTTGGGTTGTGGAATGTAGCTTCTCTAATCCAAAAGGTAAAACATAAATAAATAAACAGTCATGATTTTGTACAATATTTTTAAAGCTTCTGATATTTGTATTAACATAATCTTGTTTTTACAAATGACATTATTTTGAGGAATAGTGTATGATCTTCTGTATTCCTAATAGTATTTATGACCCTTTTCTCTCTATTTTAAACAATATTTCAGGTATTTCTTTGCTGTTTTGGCAATTTTAACTATTCTGGGAGTTCTGAATGGGTTGGTGCTGCTTCCAGTTCTTCTTTCATTCTTTGGACCATATCCTGAGGTCAGTAGATATATTTATGAGCAAAAGAAATAATGTATCCTGTCTTTCTTTCATAGAAACCTATTATTCTCTTTGTAATTCTGATTTTTATTTGAGTTTCTTGCTGTTCTTTTATTTCAAAAAAGTTATACTAATTGTGGTTTCCTTTCTTAATTTGATGTTCTTGTTTAGTAACCAGAAGGTGTCTTGAATAATAACCAGTGGATTTGAAGTTGCCTCTTTCATTTAGATACAAATGCATGATTTAATTAGCTTTATTTTTAAGCAGAATTTCATGTATTAGCTATGTTCTAGAAGCAGGGATTTCCTCAACTTCTTCATTCTACAGGCCATTTTGTGAAAGTGAGCTTCTTTGTAGTCTTGTGTTTCCTCCTAACACTCCAGCCTCTCCATTGCTTCATTTTCAAAATATTTAACTCAGCAGACCACCAGGAAGGGCTCCACACATCAGTGGTGGTCCACACACCACATCTGAAGAACCACTGCTTAAGGCCACAAGCCTGCAAAAGAATGTTCCTTTATCCACAATTCACTCTCATGGAATCCTGTTGGTTTTAGAGTGAGCCTGGACTGCTTGTACGGGTCCGTGTGGGGTCAGTCCCTTTGCAGGATCAGAGACTTAAACATTCCATTGCAAGTCCAGCAAAAAAGCATTCATAACCATCAAATTTCCACTTGATAGCTCATTGAATATGTCATAGTTATCCCACTAAAGCATGATCATTGAACTTTCTGTAGTGTTAAGAGAAAGTAACTTTATGACTGTGTGTGTAGTGTGAATGGAGATATAGATATGGGGGAGCGTATGTGAGTTATAATTCCCCCCCCACACACACACATACACAGCGGATTTTCTATTAAGTTTGTACCCATGTGCCTATGCATATCAGTGGTAGGAAACCTGCGGTTCATGGGCCGGGCCGCAGGTGGCCCATGAGACATTTTGTTTGTTGTTGCCTGCACTCAAGGTTGCTAGATTCCACTGTTTTCTGTCTGAATAATTTTTTTTCCTACTAGTATTACTAAACCAGGGCACGTGAAGTGAGATGCATGTTGATTGCACGCCACGTTGAGTGTAATAGCTGTGTGCTCCCTTTGAACCCCATCAAAGCACTGCTACGGTGTAATGGGCACACCTAGCAAATTCTAGGTACACAAGTGCAGTTAACAAAACTACCCTATCCCAGGAGACTGTCTTTGGTTAGACAACCTTGTGGCTTGCTGAGATGAAAGAGGGACATTCATGTGGCCCACTCACTAGCCTAGATTGTCAGTCATTGATGTACATACACGGAGACATATTTTTAGATAAATATATATATATACTGTACAGTCATGGAATTATTCTCTTAATTATATACCAAGATATATATGTAATTTACACACTCCCAGACATTAACAGGTATACATATAGTCTTGTTCACATCCACAGACAGAGATCCTCTCTCTTTTCTTCTGGCATAGCACTGTGCCCAGTAACAGAGAGCCTAGCAAATAATCAATAACAAAATGGTTTTGGTGAAGAACATTTTTGTTGACTGTCAGTAATTATGAGGGGCATTAACTGTCATTATTAGGTTTCTCCAGCCAATGGTCGGAACAGATTGCCTACTCCATCTCCTGAGCCAGCCCCTAGCATCGTGAGGTTTGCACTGCCACCCGGACACACGCATAATGGATCAGATTCATCTGATTCAGAGTACAGTTCTCAGACCACAGTGTCGGGAATCAGTGACGAACTCCATCAGTACGAGGCCACTCAGAGCTCTGGTGCACCAGTCCACCAAGTAATAGTGGAAGCAACTGAGAATCCTGTCTTTGCCCGATCCACTGTAAGTAGCCCTCATGTTCATGTGGGAAAGAGAGGAGAGAAAATTATTTTGTTTGGGGGTTTTGAAAGAATTTGTCTATTTCAGTTTGTATAGCAATGTTTATATTTCTGAATTTTTGCTTTGCACCTCTGCCTGCAATTGGCCTAAACTTTAGAGGACTTTTAGATGAGTGTTTTGTTTCTTTCCATCCTTTCATTTAGGAAGGAAATTCAAATAAAGTGGTAGAATTAAAGCACAGCTCATTTTCGTTGGTAATTGTCTTTGCAGCATAGTGGCTTAAGCTGGAAGTGCAGGATTGGCAGGCCCTTTGGGGTACGTCTACACTGCACGCTTTTTTCAAAATAAGCTATTCCAGAAGATATACTCCAAAATAGCTTATTTCGAAATAGCGTGTCTACACTACAGCGAAGCCTTGAAATTAGTCTAAGGCAGGCTTCCCTTATGTGGACACGCTACTTTGATTTAGAGCCCCAGGAAGTCCTGGGGCTTACTTAGTTTGAATGGCCCTGGGGAGGAGCTATTTCAAAATAGCAGCAGTGGAGTGTTCACACTACAGCTATTTTGAAATAGCTGTTTCAGAATAGGTGTAATTCCTCGTGGAATGAAGTTGGAATAAGCTGTCCATTATTTCAGAATTACAGGCAGTCCCCGGATTACATGGATCCGACTTACATCAGATCCCTACTTACAAACGGGGTGAGGCAACCCCGCACTAGCTGCTTCCCCCTAGCAGACCAGGGAGAAGCGAAGCTAGCGCCCCACCCCCAGCAGACCAGGGAGACGCGGAGCGGCTTTTCTCAGCAGGCACCTCAGCTTGAGAATAAAGGACTGAGGGAAGTAAGGTGTGGGAGAATAAAACTGAGCTCTGGAGAAATGTTTGGCTAGAGTTTCCCCTACAATAAGTACCAGTTCCGACTTACATACAAATTCAACTTAAGAACAAACCTACGGTCCCTATCTTGTACGTAACCCGGGGACTGCCTGTATTTAGAAATAATGGAAGTGCTGGGTAGACACTTGCATTGTTATTTTGAAATAATGGACATTATTCTGCACTAATGCTGCTATATATACACACCCCTGGCAGTGGTTCTGGATAACCTCTGAGAAAGGGAAGGGGGGGCGGAGTTCTGGAATTAATGTGGCTCTATCCAGAGCTATGGGAACCAGAAACACCCAGAACCATGTGGGCTGTTTTCACACTATATTTCTTTTCTGATAACAAATTTTAGAGAATAAGGGCTGGTGTAGACCAGAAAAAAAGTGTATCAAGGTTTCTCAAAACCTTAGGTCTGCAGTGTGTCACCACTGTGCCCAAGCCCTAAGCCGATGGGCTAGCATAAACTTTCATTTCAAAGAAAAACTAAAAAGCTTCCTCTCCTACCCCCCAGGATGCTGCATGCTGAGCTGCAATGCGGATCTGTTTTTGTTCAGCAGAGGCCTAAAAATAGGTACAAGCAGAGCCACATTTGAAGTTGGTCACGGTTTATTGACTGATGTGGCCGCTGTGCTTCACGCTTTTTACAGAGATCCAGAAACCAGATTCCTGCAAACTATACATACCATCCCACTAACATCCTGTGTATGTACCCCAGCTGGAAGAGAGTCTTTGCCAAAGCCTAGCAATTTTGGTTATTGAACCACTTAAGTTGTAATTCTTGCTATGTACCCCTTTCAAAAGAACTGAGCAGTATGTGTGGGGTACACACCATGCTTTCGGTGACAGCATGTCATCTGTGTTTATCTGCAAAGTTGTACTTCCCAACATTGTAACATTTTTGGGAGAGAACTGCCTGAAAAAAAAACAAATAAAACTCCAGAATGCTTCACTTCCCGAATTAATCCAGGACCATACCCTTCAGGGCTGTCCCAGGGAAAATATTTCTATAATATATGTAACTTTTGTTTGCACGCTTTAGGGCAGAGATTTAGCCTCATCTCTCAACTCATTTCCAGGTGGTTCAGCCAGAGACAAGATGTCATCAGCCAAGTCCAAAATTACAGTCTAACCCAGAAGCTGGGTCCCAGCAATCATGGCATCATAACAGACAACCTAGGCGAGAACTGAGGGAAGGACTACGACCACCCCCTTACAGGCCGCGCAGGGACGCTTTTGAAATGTCTACCGACGGGCATTCTGGACCTAACAATAGGGACCGTGCGGGCCATAGGGCTCGCTCTCATAATATTAGAAGTCCAGCATTCACTGCCAAGGGTGCTTCTGTGCCAGCATACTGCCAGCCTATCACTACTGTGACTGCCTCAGCTTCAGTTACTGTTGCTGTACACCCTGCGGTGCACAGTCATAACTCACATGGAGGAGGCTTTCCATCTTACGAAGGATACCATGAAAGTGACCATGGGCCATTTGAGGACCCCCATGTGCCTTTTAATGTACGGTGTGAGAGACGAAACTCTAAAGTAGAAGTAATAGAACTGCAAGATGTTGAATGTGAAGAAAGGACAAATGGCAACAGCTCGGATTAAGGTACATTTTTGTCCTTCCCGGCCAATTGTGGGGGATAAAAAGGAAAAAAGACAAGAACTTCCTAAGGTACCTTTTTCCCCTAGCTTCTTTACCCTCTTGGGCAACAGTGACTGGGATTACCGATCCATAAATATAGGTGCATTTTGCTTTAGAAAATTAACCTTTGACATCTTCAGAGTTCTGTACAGGAATAAAATAGCACTATCCCAATTATTTTTCAAGTGGGGAAATTGAAGCAGAAAAATTTGATATGTCCATAGTGCAATCAGGAAGTGTGGTTACAGTAAATGCAGGAATACCTGAGCTAGGTTTGATCAAACTAGCTTGCTAAAATAGTCTTGTAACCACATGGTATAGACATCACTGTGAGCTAGCCATCCAAGTACAGCTCCATCCAGAATGCTGGTTATGTATTCAGGGGACTAGCCTGTGCAAGGTACACTGCTATTTTTTGTGAGCTGGTTATCTGAAACTTCGCTTGGTTATGCCAACAAGCTCTGCAGTGAACCTGCCAATTGCAGCATGGATATACCTATTGTTTGACTTCTCCAAAGCCATGGAACAAGAGTCAGAACTTGAGTTTCCTGGCACCTCCTTTGAATAGAATGTAGTAATGAATATAAACTACTTAGCTAAATCCTCTGGTGCGTCAGTTTCCATGGTTCTCCCGCATAGTGCAAGGCAGGCCGAAGGAAATGTTTTTATGGAGATTGCATACATTCCTGCACAGTGCTGCTTTTAAGTGGGTTTGGTCCAAACTTTCTTGGCCTATTCTAGCCTTTGAGCTGTGATAGCCATCATTGAGTTGCTGTGTGGATTCTCCTTAGGTTTGTCAGAGAGAATTCCTCACACTATAGGATTTGACGCATAAAATGAAAATGAAGGGAAACTCTTTCCACCCCCACCCCAATGGCTTTGAGGTAATAAAATATATAAAAATTAGAGCTGATCAAAAAAGGCAGTGTATTTCAAAAATACTGAGAAAGAAATATTAATGTTTCATTCAAAAATTTCTGTGATCTTTTGTGGGTTTTCATGGCAGAAATATTTTTGGAGGAGGTCACTTTCTCGCTGTTACTTTTTCACACCTTTTCCAGGGGAATGGGAAGTGTGTGTATTCTCACAACACTCTCATGAGATGGAAATTAGTGGAATCCCAAGTAAGTGGATTCTGAGGCAAAGAGAAAGTCAGGCTTACATTTTCCAAAAGTAGGCACTAATTTGGGTAACTCTAGTTGTGGGTATCCAATTTGAGATGCCTAAGACCTCGTTCTCCTGCAGCTTCCATTCACTTTAACTGGAATCAGGAACACAGAAATGGAAGCACTCAAAATTAGTGGACATTTTAAACATGACATCTTTGATGGAAATGGGAATAGAGTCCAGTTTTTCTAACTCTTGGTCCCATAGCATATCCACAAGAATCAACTCAAGCATTTTGGGTTGGTTTGGTTTATTTATTTTTCTTAAGCTTTAAGTGAACAGTTGTGTTTTCTCTCTTTTGTAAAGGGTAACAACTGAAGCAAAGAAGAGGCCAAAGATGGGGAAACCTCCTCTTTCCAGAACTGCTTGAAGAGGACTGCTTGAAGTTATGGAAAAGGACATGCTGCATCAGGATAACAGTTCACTGTTACTGTAACCTATTGTATTATTTTGTTAGATATTTCTATAAATATTTAAAAGGTGTATACATATGTAATATACAAAAGAACAATGTAAAGTAGTATAATCTGGAGTTAACTCTTGTTAATAGAGTGTTTGTGCTCTGTACTTATTGTACATTGATTTCTGTGTCACAACTAAGCTTAATCTAGTCCTAAATTTCAGCATATGTTGCTGCTGCTTAAATATTGTATAATTTACTTGTATAATTCTATGCAAATATTGCTTATGTAATAGGATTTTTTTGTAAAGGTATGTGTTTAAATATTTTAAAATTTGCATTTCACAACCCTGTGGTAGTATGAAATGTTACTGTTAACTTTCAAACACGCTATGCGTGATAATTTTAAAAAAATAAGCAGATATGAAGAAAAGCACGTTTATCTTGGTGGTTTAAATAGGTTAGCTATGTGCAGGTTTAGTTTTGCTGTATGCATGTGTGTATGTATGTTCCCATTGTACTGTAGTGTATTTCTTTTTACTGTATGGTAACCCTTAATGGGCTCATTAACTCACTGAGGCTGCTGGCAAAGTCAGGATTTTCCTATTGCTAAGTGCTGGTGAAAAATGCATTGGCACTTAACAGCAGAATCTCCAGTCTGCTATTGTCAAAGGGATGATTAAGACAGAAGAGAGGGCAGGAGTTCAGAACATATGGATTCTATTCCTAAATCTTCCACTGACTTACTGTGTGTGACTTTAGGCAAGTCACTTAACCTGCCTATGCCTCAGTTTCCACATCTGTACAATGGGTATAATAATACTTACCTACCTCCTAGGGATGTTGTGAGGCTTAATTACTGTTCAGAAAGTGATCTGATATCCTTTGTGAAAGGTGCCATGTAAGTGCAAAACATTATAAGTTCCCTTAACTGCAAAGGTGTTGGATATTGAAAGTTGCTAAAATCCAATTAGCATATGCCTTTGTATGTACTGATGCTATATTTTGATATTGATATTGCAAAACAGAATGGTATTGGAAACTTGAATAATCGGGTTTTTCATTGCAGCAATGGCACAGTTCAAATCAATCTGCCATCTGTCATTGTTTTATTTACATGGCAGAAAGTAAGTTAATATAAAGTGACAAAAATTAGAATATTTTCTATTACTTTCTCCATCTAATTTCACTTATTTTACTGATTGTCTGCTTGATCTGGGACCATGATGATTGACACCCACGGGTGATCACTCTCTCCACTCCTCCTCCCTCCTCCCAGTAACTTATGGCATTACTACATTGAACTGGGAGTCCTTCATGAATCTATTTTAGCTACTTTCTGTCTTTTTTTTTTCTTTTTTTAAGTTAAAATTGAATTGCAGCAGGTGAAGGGCTTAAAAAAAAGGGCTAGAAGTGTTAGGCTCTAGTATGGACCCAAAGCCTATATAAGGTGAACATTAATTTAAATAATAGAACAAAAGGTTACACTACTTTCCCTCCCTAATTTTTCACTACCCTTCCCCAGGCTATTTTTCAGAGCAGATGGATAATATATTTTAAAACAAATAGTCAGGCTAGAAAAAAAACACATGCAAGATCTGTGTTTATAAATACAGTTGGCCACTCCAGGCCAGGCATTGTTTGATTAGAATGTATACTTCTCCAGTGGCTGGAAAGCTGTGACTTTTTCCTACAGGCTTTCCCAGCAGAGTGGAGAAGTATGACTATCATGTGCACGTGATCATGCCCTTTTTTTCTCACTTCAGAACACTTACTTTGACATAAGGCACTTGTTTACAGATATCCAATGTGAATACTAAAAGAACAGCTGATGAGCCTGGCATTGGCCCACTGGTACATAAGCTACTGTTTAGATGCACACTAAGGGTTAATCCCATAATTGCCTACTGGTCCAGCTCACTGTCTAACATGAAAACTCTTAATGACAAAAAGACAACAGGCCCCAATTTAGCACTAGCAGTGTAGTGACCTCTGATCATAAAAACTCTGCAACAAAACTGTATGCTACTAATTGGAAACTACCTTCAACTGCCAAGTGTACGTGTTACTGTGTCAGAGGTCACTATGGCTTCCCACTGATACTGCTTTGGTATCTATCAGTCAGTCACTCTCCTACCCCCCCATCTTTTTTTTAATAGATGGTCGGAGGGAGGGAGTAAGGAAGAGTTTTGATGTCTCATCTCTTCCCTCCTTCCCCTGCCCACCAATTGCATTCTGTGTGTTTGTGCGTGGGTGAGCTATCTGCTTTCTGCACAATGTAGACCTTTTCTCCTATAGTCACATTGGCAAAGGGAGAACTCAGTGGCTGGCAACTTTGTGTTTTATGGTTTTTAACTTTTTTTTAATCATTGGTGATATTTATATTTTTGTATCATAAGAATGTTTTCTTACAGTATTTGTCATGCCAGTTTATAACAAACAAAATGCAGGGATTTTATTTCACTATTACAGCTATGTTTTTACTTTTAATGGAATTTTTATTTGTATAGAGTGCTTACTAATGTTAAATAGGAAAGAGTATATAACATTTACATTAAGGACTCGTTGTAGGTTTTAGTGTAAGGAGTAAAAAGGAAAAAATATTCAAACTGGGTCTCATTGCCTGCCTATTTTGGCAAGAGTGGGCTTATGTCATTTCAGTTACAAAGATAAAAGTATGCCATATAATTTATTTATATGAAAATTTATTTTTGTAGTGTACATAATAGTCATCAAGTCTTTTGACAGAAGTATATTTTTAAAGAGTTTATATGTAATGATGATACCATTATGTTTTGGAACATTGCTAAAACATGATTACAGTGCACACTTTTCATTTTAAACCCCATTGCAGAAAAAGAAAATGTTTAACAGTGTTGAGAAAGAGAGTGTGAATATTCATACAATTCTGAATTGTGTTTTAGTTACCATTTGTGATCTAGTGTGGTTCTCATTTTAAACCTGGAGTTAAAATTGTACAAACTCTCTAAATATTAATGTTCAAACACTGATAGAAATTCTAACATGAATAAAAAATATTATAACTTATTGATTACGTATTTGGTTGTTTGTAGAATGCTTTATTTACAAAAGCCATAGGCCCTGTAACAGAAAAGTATAATCATTCTTAAAAGTGTAACATTGGCAAACTTATGAGATACTGCAGTCAAAAGCTTTAGTATTCATGCATCATCTCTTATTTTTATTAGAATTGGGCCTGAGCCAAACATGAGGAACTGAATCCTGCTTCTGAATTTCAGATCTTTCTAATTGCTCAAATAAAACCCAAGATCTTGAATCTCCCAAACTTGGGGTTTGAAATTTGGATTCTCCAGGGTTCACAATTTTTGTATTCTGTTCAGATTTGGCCCCGTCTGCAGGCAAGTTCAAGCTATAAACTCCTATCCTAACAACAGATATCAGGTTTTGGGTTGGCCCCCTCTCTATTCCTATCCCCCTTTGTGTATATATAATCATTAGGCAAAACCAAACTAGCACCCTGTGCCACTTTGGATTATTAAATGCATATTTTTCAATCAGAACACAATTTTGCATAAACATTTAAAAATATGTTTCGGAGGTAGCCGTGTTAGTCTATTTTAGCCAAAACAACGAAGAGTCCAGTGGCACCTTAAAGGCTAACAATTTTATTATGGCATAAACTTATTGGAGTCAAATAATCCTTGACATCAGTTATTTCTGCAGTCTCAAAATTACATATTTGGCTAATGCATATTTGGTTGTTCCCTGGAGTACAGGAGTGACAGAGATGTCTGTTTTTGTCCACTCTGTGAAACAGTCAAGGTAGTTTGATTTATGAAACTTGACTTGACTTGCTGGCACCTGTGCCTGTATTGGTTTTGTGGCAGCTTTGCTGATGCCTGCCTTCCAGAATGCTGCTTCCCAAATCATCCCATTTGTTTTTTAGAAAGGGAGGAGTATTGTTATGCATTTAGGTAGGGAAGAGTATTGTTATGCTTTGAAGAAAATCTAGTATAGATGTTGACCAGGTCAGTATTCACTCATATCAGGAATCCTTGTGTGGTTTATAGCATACAAAGATCCTATTTATCGAAGTACCACAGAGGCAATAATCCTTCAGTTCCACCCTGTATTTACCAGATGATTTCAATACATCTACCATTTGATTCTCTACTCCCATTAGTGGAAGACATGATCAGGCTGTTGGGTTTATTCACATTCAGCCTTTCAGTGCCAACTATCCATTTTCCTTTTTTTAATCCAAGGTGATATGTATAAATTGTCTGGAAGATGAACTGTAAATTATTAATGTGCTTACAATGTAAGGACCTGACTGCAAATCTGTACTCACATGTACTGTCACTGCTCTCATAAATAGTTCTGTACTAATCCATGAGACTAATTGCATCAGCAAGAAATATTTTTGTAAGAAAAAAGTTTGCATAGCTAGGTACTAAATAAATAACCAGAGCGAGGAGAAATTTTGTGCTCAAATAGTTTTAGTCTCTGAAAATAATGCAGATTTATGTTAACCAAAACTAGTCATGAATTCAGGTCAAATTTGGTAAATATTTTGGCCAATGTTTTGACTTTTCATGTCAAAAAAGACATTTTATTCCAGAATTTTCCCAAGTTGAATTTAATAAACATTTTAAAGTAATTTTTATAAAAGGAAAAAAATCATCTTGTGTTGAACAAAATAGTATGCTTCAACAAAAATAGAAATTATTTATTCCATTAAGAAAACAAAAATGTTCATGTCTTTGATCCAAAGAGAATTGTTTTCAATTTTTCACAAACCCAAAATATCAGTTATTTATGCAGCCCTAATTATGATCCATAATATATTCTTACAGGAAGTAAAATCATACATCCTGACAGATGCTAATGCTTACAAAGTTTTTCCAGTCTCAATGACTCCTAAGAATCATTCAGTCCATCAAACTGGAAAAATATTAACATGTTGACAGTTTCTTTCAATCAGAATGGATTTTACTTTTAAAAGTCCATTTTGCATAAAAATATAGTTATTTACTTTGTATTACTCTTTGGGTGCATCTAGATGGGCAATAATTAGGCAAAAACTTTCCAGCTGTCTACACTGGCCGCTTGAATTTGTGCAAGAGCACTGACTTTGTAATGTACAAAATCAGTGCTTCTTGCGCAAATACTTTCATGCTCATTCTCAGGGATAAGCCCTCTTGCGCAAGAATACTTGCGCAAGAGGGCCAGTGTAGACAGGCACCTTAATTTTTTGCGCAAGAAAGTCCGATGGCTAAAATGGCCATCAGAGCTTTCTTTCGCAAAAGCACATCTAAATTGGCACAGATGCTTTTGCGCAAAAGCACTTTTTGTGCAAAAGCATCCTTGCCAATCTAGATGCTCTTTTGAGGAAATACTTTTAACGGAAAAACTTTTCTGTTAAAAGTATTTCTGCAAAATCATGCCAGTCTAGATGCAGCCTTTGTGATTATATATCTTATAAATGGCACTTTTTTTTTTTTACTTTGCATCTTACTAAACTCAGGTGAAACTTTTTTAGATATTTGTCAGAAATTGGTCATATTTATTCAGGGCTTAAGTAAATACGTGGCTGAATTTTTGTTGGCCTAATGCATATATTTAACAGTTCCAGGAATGTTGCATGCTGCTAAACTGCTTCAGCATTGATGTATAACCTGGTGTTTCATTTTTGGTAATTTACCTTCCCAATGAGAATTTGAGACGCCAGCTGATTATATCTGAAAATCACCTTTGCCAAATTTTAATTTCTTTTAAAGATTGTTGCAGTCATAGTGGAACCCGTTACTGACTCAAGATGCATGCCAGGAAACTAGAATCCAGCAGACATGGCTTAAAAATACTTTCCTATTCTAAGTTCACAATTGGTTTTACTAATAAAATTTGAATGTGTGTATGTACTCTGTTTCTTTGCTGAAGAGATATAATCATATCTGGACAGGTCAAAATGCAGTCAACCTATGGGGGCATAGCACAAGTTAAGGAAGTTTGCCTCTTGCACTTTGCTTCTGTCAACTGTTGAATTCAAATCTACATAATCTACAGTAATTGGATCTCAAATCATTTGCCTACCACCCCCTAGCTTCATCGTTGGAAACACAAATACAGAGAAAGCACTGGCATTTTTACCTTTCTTCCAGTTAAAGCTGCTCTGCTCAGATTTAGCTAATGCATCCTAAAAACCCTTGGGCCTCTTTACATATTAGCACATCCACTACTGTCTGCACTGGTGCAGCTCCAGTTGTCTGTGAGACAGTGAAAGGTTCCTCAGAAAGTCTAGTGTAGACAGCACATGCTAATTCAGAACCATTTTTAAGAAGGCTCTTGCTAGAAAGACAACATTGCCTCATTCAGGCTGTTGGGTCAGTGGTGATACTGGCCCTGATCGACTAACGTATTTAGGCATCTAATTCCTAAAATTAAGGTAAGAGCAAAATAAGATGAAAATGTAGTACACATCACCTCCTAGTGCTCACTTCAGCAGCTTGTCTCTTGTGAGGAAATAATTTCCCAGAATTCCATATTACCTATTTCCCATGTTTTAGCACTCAGCAAGGGAACACGTTTCCCAGGATATTTTTCAACTAAACCTCCACAACCCTATTTAAAGCAGCTTTTAAACCAGGCCAAAAGAAGGAATCTTCACAAGCAGCTGGTGAGTAGATTCGCTTTCCAGGAAACCAAAATATTTTAATTGTTTTAAAGCACAGGTGAAAAGAAGAGGTTTTTAATTCACGGAATTGTTCCAATGACCCATCCTGGCATTTTTCACTCAAACTTAGGGTTTTGGAAGCGCCAAACCGGGGAAGAAAAAATTATCTGGGTAGCTCTCTAAGGGTGCGTCTACACTGCACCATAGCTTGAAATAAGAGATGCAATTTGAACTGCACAAATTGTGTAGCTTATTTCGAGTCAGTTTCAAAATAAGCTATTGTGAAACTTTTGTGCTGTCTACACAGCACTTATTTCAAAATAAAACACTATTCCAAAATGTCCCATACTCCTCATGGAATGAGGTTTACAGGGACGTCAGAATAGCGAGCCCATTATATTTTGAAATAATGGGTGCACTCAAAAGACATGGAATAGCTATTTTGGGATACCTCTGGTATCCTGAAATATCTCCGCAATGTAAACCTAGCCTAAGAAAAGAGAAGAGAAAAACAGGAAAGTAAGAATTTACTACTCAACATGCTCAAAGGAATAGAAGAATTCAGGTTGTTGCATTATCTATTTTCAACCAAGGCATATGTTAGCACTGGAAATGTCTTCTTCCCCTTGTGTCATGAGTACATGTTCTTTCTCTTTGTACAGAGGAAGTGAAAAATTCTGGGGTGGGTTGGGAGTTAGGGTGAATGAGCTTGGGATCACAACTCTAGCTCTCCACCTTAGGAGGGTCAATCCCCTCACTGACATTTCTACAGCAATTTTTGTTTACTGAATACATCAATTCATTTTTCATAGGTCACCAAATATGTCAGATGACAAATGACCTTCAGTCACCACCAAGTTAGTCTGGCTTCAATCCAATAATCTAGAGGTGAAATTATCCAGTTATCCTTAGCTAGTTACCTAGCTCCTAGAACTTTCGTAATCATAAGTACATCTTTACCTCTATAAACCAAACAGTTTATGCCACCATGTAATGTGAAACATAGATTGCTTATTAGTTAAGATTGCACTACTTACTGTTGTAACAGTTAGCCAATATGAGTAAGGGACTCACAATCTGTTCCTAAATAACAAATGAATGGGATATAAAAATCTAGTCAGGTTTGCCTTTCATGGTGAAAACAACAATGAATTATGTCTGTTTCCTACTACTATATGTCATATTAATAGAGCAGTTACATGTTAATTTATAATATTTGTTTCTGTGAGTTTGAGAACCACCTATAAAATTATAGAAAATGCTAATTTAACACAATAAACCACAAATATTTTATATTTAAATAACCAGATAAACATAACACAAGTACCTTGTCATATGCTTGGAAGTGTTGTATCTATATTTATTTATAAGGGTAGGAACTGAGGTAGCAACA